AAGAATATCCAATGGAATAAAGACAATTTCTTCAGCAAATGGTGTTGGGAAAACTGGGCAACGACATGCAGAAAAATGACCCTGGACCACTTTCTTACACCACACACAAAAATAAACTCAAAATGGATGAAAGACTTAAACGCTAGACAGAAAGCCATCAAAATCCTGGAGGAGAAGACAGGCAATAACCTCTCTGACCTCAGCCAGAGAATCTTCTTACTCAACATGTCTCTGGAAGCAAGGGAAACAAATACAAAAATGAACTACTGGGACCACCTCATCAAGATAAAAAGCTTCTGCACAGCAAAGGAAACAGTCAGCAAAACTAAAAGGCAGCTGACAGAATAGGAGAAGATGTTTGCATATGACATATCAGATAAAGGATTAGTATCCAAAAATCTATAAAGAACTTACCAAACTCAACACCCCCAAAAAAAATCCAATGAAGAAATGGGCAAAAGACATGAATAGAAACTTTTCCAAAGAAAACACCAAGATGGCTAACAGACACATGAAAAGATGCTCACAGCACCACTCACCATCAGGGAAATACAAATCAAAACCACAATTAGATACCACTTCACACCTGTCAGAATGGCCAAAATTAACAACTTGGGCAATAACAGATGTTGGTGAGGATGTGGAGAAAGAGGCACCCTTTTGAACTGCTGGTGGGAATGCAAACTGGTGCAGCCACAGTATGGAGGTTCCTCAAAAAAATTAAAAATAGAACTGCCCTACAACCCAGCAATTGCACTACTAGGTATTTATCCAGGGGATACAGGTGTGCTGTTTTGAAGGGGCACATGCACCCCAATGTTTATAGCAGCACTAGCGACAATAGCCAAAGTATGGAAAGAGCCCAAATGTCCACCAATGGATGAATGGATAAAGAAGATACGGTGTGTATACACACACACACACACACACACACACACACACACAGACACACACACACACATATACATACACACACACACACACACACACACGATGGAGTATTATTTGGCAGTCAAGAAGAATGAAATCCTGCCATTTGCAACAATGTGGATGGAAATAGAGTGTATTATGTTAAGCAAAATTAAAGAAAGACAAATATATGACTTCTCTCGTGTGGAATTTAAGATACAAAACAGGGGCGCCTGGGTGGCGCAGTCGGTTAAGCGTCCGACTTCAGCCAGGTCACGATCTCGCGGTCCGTGAGTTCGAGCCCCGCGTCAGGCTCTGGGCTGATGGCTCGGAGCCTGGAGCCTGTTTCTGATTCTGTGTCTCCCTCTCTCTCTGCCCCTCCCCCATTCATGCTCTGTCTCTCTCTGTCCCAAAAATAAATAAAAAAATTTATTGAAAAAAAAAAATTTAAGATACAAAACAGATGAACATAAGGGAAGGGAAGCAAAAATAATATAAAAACAGGGAGGGGGACAAAACACAAGAGACTCTTAAATACAGAGAACAAACAGGGTTGCTGGAGGGGTTTTGGGTGGGGAGGGATGGGCTAAATGGGCAAGGGACATTAAGGAAGACACCTGCTGGGATGAGCACTGGGTGTTTTATGTAGAGGATGAATCACTGGGTCCTACTCTTGAAATCATTATTGCATTATATCCTGACTAATTTGGATGTAAATTAAAAAAAAAAAATTCCCTCTCTCTGCCCCTCCCGCACTGGCACAGTCTCTTATTAAAAAAAAAAAAAAAAAAGGCCTAGTTCTTAGATTGATTTCATCTGTTATCTTCTGCCTTTTTATTACATTAAATTCTACCTTTGTTTCTATTAATGCATTAATATAATGCATTATTGGTTAAGGATCACATTATAATTTATATATACATTGTAGAGGAAAAATTTGTCTTAATATTTTCTCACATCTTCTTCAAGTGTACAATTCAACAGTTTTTAATATAGACACAAGGTTGTGTGATGATCACCATTATCTAGAACACTGTCTAGAACATTTCATCACCTTTCTCCCCAAAAACTCCATTCCCGTGAACAGTCACTCTATTTTTCCCTCTCACTGAACCCTGGTAACCTCTAGTATATTTTCTCTGCATGGTTTTACTTCTTCTGGAGTTTCACGTAAATAGAATCATATAATATGAGGCCTTTTGTGTCTGGCTTCTTTCACTTAGCATAACATTTTCAAGGGTCATCAGTGTTGTAGCATGTATTATTTCATTCCTTTTTATTGCTGAATCACAACTTCATTGTATGTGTACTGTTTTGTTTACCTACTTATCAGTTGATAGGCATCATGTAATGTTTTTCTACTTTTTGGCTCTTATGAATAATAGTCCTATGAACCTTCATGAACATGTTTTTGTGTGGGCATATGTATTTTTATTTATCTTGCATATATGCTTAGGAGTAGAATTGGGTTATACGGGAACTTTTTGAGGCATTACCTTAACTGTTTCCAAAGCAGCTGCACCATTTTAAATTCCCATTCAGTTTCTAATTGGAACCCAGTTGAAGGTTCCAATTTCTCCATCCTTGCCAACTGTTGTTATTGTCCATGTTTTTCTTTCTTTCTTTTCTTTTCTTTTCTTTTCTTTCTTTCTTTCTTTCTTTCTTTCTTTCTTTCTTTCTTTCTTTGCCTTTGTCCAGTGTATTGTCAAAAATTAATTGACTATAAATATAAGGGTTTATTTCTGGACTCTCAATTCTGTTCCAATGATCTATATTTCTGTCTTTACACCAGTATACCATACAGTTTGGGTTAATGTAATTTTACAGCAAGTTTTGAAATCAGAAGTGTGAATACTCCATTCAAGATGTTTTTGGGTATTCTGGATTTTTCATATGAATTTAGAATCAGCACACCAATTTGTGCAATGAGAAAGAAAGACTGGTGATAGGTATTAAAGAGGGTGCTTTTTGGGATGAGCACTGGATATTATATGTAAGAGATGAATCACTGGGTTCTACTCCTGAAGCCAAGACTGCACTCTGTGTTAACTAACTTGAATTTAAATTGAAAAAACAACTAAATTGAATTTAAATTGTATAACCCCAAAGGAGAAGGAGAAGAAAAAAGACCATTGGAATTTTTATAAGGATTGTGTTAAACTTGTAGATCAATTTTGGAAGTGTTGCTGTGTTAACAACATTAAGTCTTCCCATCAATGAACACAGTATTTTTCCCATCTTTCTTTTTTAAAAAATTTTTTTTTCTTTTTTAAATTTTACCTCCAAATTAGTTAGCATATAGTGCAACAATGATTTCAGGAGTAGATTCCTTAGTGCCCCTTATCCATTTAGCCCATCCCCCTCCCACAATCCCTCCAGTAACCCTCAGTTTGTTCTCCATATTTATGAGTCTCTTCTGTTTTGTCCCCCTCCCTGTTTTTATATTAGTTTTGTTTCCCTTCCCTTATGTTCATCTGTTTTGTCTCTTAAAGTCCTCATATGAATGACGTCATATGATTTTTGTCTTTCTCTGACTAATTTCACTTAGCATAATACCCTCCAGTTCCATCCACGTAGTTGCAAATAGCAAGATTTCATTCTTTTTGATTGCTGAATAATACTCCATTATATATATATACACCACATTTTCTTTATTCATCCATCGATGGACATTTGGGCTCTTACCATACTTTGGCTATTGTTGATAGTGCTGCTATAAACATGGGGGTGCATGTGTCCCTTTGAAACAGCACACCTGTATCCTGTGGATAAATGCCTAGTAGTACGATTGCTGGGTCATAGGGTAGTTCTATTTTTAGTTTTTTGAGGAACCTTCATACTGTTTTCCAGAGTGGCTGCACCAGCTTGCATTCCCACCATCTTTATTTATTTTTTTTTTAATTTTCTTCCTTTATTTATTTTGAGAGAGAGAGAGAGTGCAAGCAGGGGAGGGGCAAAGAGAGAGGGAGAGAGAGAATCTGAAGCAGGCTCTGCACCATCAGCACAGAGCCTGACATAGGGCTCAGTCCCACAAACCGCGAGATATGACCTGAACCCAAATCAAGAGTCAGATGCTTAACCAACTGAACCACCCAGGTGCCCCTGATTCAGTAAGATGCAAATTTTTCCATCTTTTTTGTCTCTTAACAGTGTTTGATAGTTTCCAGTGTACGAGTCTTAATGTTTATTAAATTTTTTTCCTAAGTATTTTATTCTGTTTGATGCTATTGTAAATAAAACTGTTTACTTAATTTCATTCTTGGGTTGTTCTTTGCTGATCTATAAAAAGACAATCAGTTTTTGGTCTTACATTCTGCTACCTTGCTGATCTCGTTTATTACCTTTAAATGCATGTCTTCTGCTTACTCTTTATTTTTATTCTTCTTCTAGTTTTTTGAGTGCATATTAGGTCACTTAGTTTCATTTTTTCCTAATTCATTATAAGGCTATATACATTTTCCCCAATTATTGTCTTAGCCACAAACATCTTGAAATATTTGTTGTTCATTTTTACTTCATTGATTTTCTTTTTAATCCAATAATTTACAATTTTCAAGTGTTTGGAGGGTTATCTTTTTTTTTTTAAAGAGTTTTTTTTTTCAACGTTTTTTATTTATTTTTGGGACAGAGACAGACAGAGCATGAACGGGGGAGGGGCAGAGAGAGAGGGAGACACAGAGTCGGAAACAGGCTCCAGGCTCCGAGCCATCAGCCCAGAGCCTGACGCGGGGCTCGAACTCACGGACCACGAGATCGTGACCTGGCTGAAGTCGGATGCTTAACCGACTGCGCCACCCAGGCGCCCCTATCTTTTTGTTGTTAATACTTTGGCATTGAGATTGGAGTTCATATCTGGTAGGATTTTTCTTTTGGAGTTTACTGATATTTTTCTGGTCTTGCTTCATGAATAGCAAAATAGGAATGCTTTTTGCGTATAACCCCAAATAAACCATTTGGGACCACAGTGTCCTGGGTTTTTTGGACACAGTAGATAGAATACCTTCCATAAGATTAGTCTTCCCCTAAGTCCCTGCATAGTGAGTCTTATGCTATTTTACCTTATTCAAAGATATTTTTAAATGTCTTTGCAGCCACAAATAAGAAGAGTAATTCACCCAAGCCAGCTCGGTCCAGTATAGCAGGTAGTCTGTCACTTCGAAGAGCAATAGACTCTGGGGAAAATAGCCGTTCAAAGGGAGACTGTCAAACTCTGTCTGAAGGTAAATTTGGAGAGTTCAGAATGTAATTTCAGTGTGTAGATATTTGTTATTTGAAATTGATGTTATGGTATAGGTAGATTTATATGTTTAAAGGCACCAGCAGTGCTGAAACTTGATTTGAAAGTTCTTGATCTCCCAAAAACAGACCCGTCAGTAATAAAATGCAATCATTAGACTCATATTCTGGACTCCTTAATTTTAAATACCTGGCATCAAAAAAAACCTGGGATATGTCTTTAAATTGGCTTTGAGTCTGCCGGCAGTTTAAAAATGTGTATGTAGTGAGACATTCTAAAGTGGAAACTAGAGAACTTTTGTTTGCCTTCTTTCAGAGTATCCCATTTCTTTTCTGTAGGTTCCCCAGGAAGCTCTCAGTCTGGGAGCAGGCATAGTTCTCCCCGAGCCTTAACACATGGCAGTATCGGTGATATTCTGCCCAAATCCGAAGACCGGCAGTGTCAAGCTTTGGATTCAGATGCTGTTGTGGTTGCAGTTTTCAGTGGTTTACCTGCTGTTGAGAAAAGGAGGAAAATGGTCACCTTGGGGTAAGTTCTTTTGTTTATGTAGTGGAATAATTGCCAATAGCTTTATTCAATAGCACTTCTTAAGTCTATATCATGATGAATAAAATAAATTTCTACTTCGTTAATTTTTTAGCAGATATAAAGTTTATTTGTTGTATTAAAATCTAAAGTACCAGAGACCCTACTTTCTTTTCTTAGTGGAATGAAATGAGATGTTATTAGAAGTTCTGTTATGTTAGAAATCACTGAAGTTAAGAGAATAATATTGTGTAACCTTGTGTGAATTCTGCCTTGTGAGTTTTTGTTGTGTGTGTCAGCTCTTTAAAAATTTATTTTACTTTATTTTTTTATTTTTTTATTTTTTCTATCTGCTCCACATTTTTTTTAATTAAAAAAAATTTTTTTTAACCTTTATTTATTATTGACAGACAGACACAGAGCATGAGCAGGGGAGGGGCAGAGAGAGGGGGAGACACAGAATCCGAAGCGGGGCTCGAACTCACAAACTGTGAGATCATAACCTGGGCCAAAGTCGGTCGCTTAACCAACTGAGCCATCCAGGCGCCCCTGCTCCACATTTTTTAAGACACTTGTGCTAGGCTACATTATGTCATAGATCTTCTATGCATGTTTTGTACAGAACAAAGCAATTCTAGCGTTTTTATTTTTAACACTGCTTTTGTACTTTCACTTTTTTTCTCTTCTCTTATGAAAATGTCTGCAAAACTCATAGTTGGAATTTCTCAAAAGGATATACTATCTGGTAGTCATCACCTTTATCTCTCACCCGGGAAACAAAAACTCACATCCCAGCCACGTCAATTAAACTTTTACCAATTAAAAAGATTAAGTGATTATGGGATATATTGTCTGTGAACGTGCTAGACGAGCCCTTAATACCCATCTGCTGATCTATTTTATGGATATTAAATATATTTCTAAATTTAAACAATGGAATAGTTCTACCTTGGAGACTTTGAAAATGATTTTGAATTAGAGAGAGAATAACATCCCTTAAATTTACTTAATTTTATATAGTTTTAAGGTCTGGATAATTACCAAATGTAAAGAAGAGTTGGTGTGATTTAGTTTTCTGATTTAGCTCCAGTTTAAGCAGTGGAAAGGTGTTATAATTATTAGATGTTATCTTGTCCTCCCCATTACCTAGCCTGATTTTATACGTATTCCATATTCACGTTGCAGCTACAACCAGCTTTTATATTTTGTTTGTTATGGAGATATTTATATCTGCCTTTAGTCATAACAATTAAATATTTATGAATGTAGACTTTTTTCTAGACTGTAAAATCCTTTATAAATATCTGCAGCCCTTAGCTTTAAAATTTTTTTTTTTTCCAACGTTTATTTATTTTTTGGGACAGAGACAGAGCATGAACGGGGGAGGGGCAGAGAGAGAGGGAGACACAGAATCGGAAACAGGCTCCAGGCTGTGAGCCATCAGCCCAGAGCCTGATGCGGGGCTCGAACTCACAGACCGCGAGATCGTGACCTTGCAGCCCTTAGCTTTAACCCTCACTTTACAGTTAATTGTATCACTAGCCTGGCTTATGTGATGTTTTCTAGTTTGTGTCTTTTTTTTCCCTTCCCTAATTTATAGTAGTTTGTAAGCAAAAACTTTAAATACTAATAATAAGTGGTTAAAAATGGAAGTAAGAAAAGAATATTAAGTGAAAATTTCCCCATCTTTGTCTCCCATCTGCTTAGTTTTCCAACCCCCTGCCCACACACTTCCCTGCTGTTTTTAATTTTTTATATATGCTGTGTTTTTTCAGTTCTTATGCATATTTAAGCAACTGTGACTATATAGCTTTTTTAGTACATAAAGCACACCTTATTTTCTCAGTAATATATCTCAAAAGTCTTTCTATATTAGTAAGAACTTATCATTTAGGACTTCTGTTTTTATCTTTTAATCAGAATTATTATTGAGATAATTATATGTTCACATGCAGTTCTAAGAAATAAAACAGAGATCCTATATACACCTTATGTACTTCCCTCTAATGATAATATTTTGCAAAACTGATACAATATCACAACCAGGATATGACATTGATACAGTCCATCATTTTCTAATCTTTTATTGTGAATCTTCTATTGGATTTTTTAAAAAATAAAGCACTAGTGCCATATACCCTACTTAGTTTCATGCTCAGTTTCAGGACAAGAAGAAAATGTAGATTATTGTATCGCTGACTAGTTACACAAAAATATCAGGTTGTTTTCTCCCTCTTTGAGGGCTACTGCTAAAGGTGGTCGTCTGGAAGGAATGCAGATGACTGATTTGGAAAATAATTCTGAAACTGGGGAATTACAGCCTGTCCTACCTGAAGGAGCTTCAGCTGCACCTGAGGAAGGTATGGAATGATAAAGTCATAATTAGGTGGAAGGTGAGAATAATGATCTTTTTTTGGTGTTGGTGTTGGGGGGTAGTTAAGTTATTGAGACATTGCTATCCAACATGGTTGATCTGAATACAGCATTTATTGTGCCACTGAATTTAATTTACTAGGACATCGAGCACACAGGAAGGCAAAATGGATAATTGGGTACATAAAAGGACACATCTTACTTAGATGGGACATTTGCAGGAGGGTGAGGGGAATCTATAGACAGTTCATCTACTCATTCACATCTCATTCAATTAATGTGTTAAGCCATCTATATGATAGGAATTGAGTTTTCTAGATATGCAAAGGAGATTAGATATGTTCACAGGCTTAGGGGAAGGCATGCACAAAATTATGGATTATTATATATAATATAATGTTAATTGTTAAGTACTTTGTCGGGTCCTTCCTTCCTTCCTTCCTTCCTTCCTTCCTTCCTTCCTTCCTTCCTTCCTTCCTTTTGTTTTTTGAGAGAGAGAGAGAAAGCATCTAAGCGAGAGAGGGGGGCAAAGGTAGAGGAAGAGAGAATCTCAGGCAGGCTCCACGCTTAGCACAGAGCCTGGTGTGACACTCAATCCCATGACCCTGGGATCATGACTAGAGCTGAAATCAAGAGTTGGATACTCAACTGACTGAGCCACCCAGGCGCCCCAGTACTTTGTCTTTTAAAGACAGTCTTAAAAAAAGAAGGGGTACCTGGGTGGCTCAGTTGGTTAAGTGCACGACTCTTGATCTCGGCTCAAGTCATGACCTTCACAGTTCATCGGATCAAGCCCTGTGTTGGTCTCTGTGCTGAGTGTGGAGCCTGCTTGAGATCCTTTCTCCCTCTCCCCCACTTGCTCACTCTCTCATAAAAAGTAAAATAAAATAAACTTAAAAAATAATAAAAGGCAGTCTTGATTAAATGTTTGTATTCCAAATTAACCATTTAAAAACTCCTTTGGGGCTTTTGAGTGGCTCAGTTGATTGAGCCTTTGACTCTTGGTTTTGGCTTAGGTCATGATCCCAGGGTTGTGGGATTGAGCCCCACATTGGCCTCAATCAAATCAATCAATCTCTCTCTCTCTCTCTCTCTCTCTCTCTCTCTCTCTCTCTCTCCCTCTCTCCCTCCCTCTCCCTCCCTCCCTCCCTCCTCTCTCAAAATAAGTAAATAAAAATTAAAAATCTTAAAAAAAAATCCATTATGGTAACTGATTTCAACTCTGCCAATTCATTCTCAGTTACATTACTAGTATTCTTCTACATGTTCTTCCAGGTTCATTATTCTTTATTTAAAAGCATAGAAGACATTTTGTAATTTTGAGTAACAGAAGGTGTTCTGTGTGTTTTTACCATTGCTGTGTCCTTTATATGTCAGCAGAAAAGGATGTCAACTTTGACATTGATTTTTTTCCCCCCATTTCTTACTGAAACTCTGCCGCCTTCCACCTCTGCACTTATTTGAATTTCAATGATTGATGAATTGCTGTAGCATGCAGGTGCCACCATATACCTCTGGCTGCCCTGTGAGAGGGTGTAGGAGTGGTGGCATTTCAGGTTTTTCCCTTTTAGTTGGTGGAGCATAGCATTATTTGTGTTTTGGCAGCAGCATTATTTCAATAGAAGAGACTAAATGAAAAGGATTTTTATTATTTTTTTTCTTTTTATATTAAGTTTATTTATTTTGAGAGATACAAAGGCAGCATGAGTAGGAGAGGGACAGAGAGAGAGGGCAAGAGAGCAGATCCCAAGCAAGCTTTGCATTGCCTGCGCAGAGCCCGATGTGGGGTTCAAACTCATGAAACTGTGAGATCATGACTTGAGTTGAAGCCGAGTTGGACGCTTAACCGACTGAAACACCCAGGCAGCCAAAAAGAATTTTTTTTTAACGTTTATTTATTCTTGAGAGACAGAGCATGAGCATGAGAGGGGCAGAGAGAGAGGGAGACACAGAATCTGAAGCAGGCTCCAGGCTCAGCACAGAGCCTGATGCGGGGCTCGAACCCACAAATGGTGAGATCATGACCTGAGCTGACGTCGAATGCTTAGCCGGCTAAACCACCCAGGCGCCCCAGCCAGGCACCTGAAAAGGATTTTTAAAGTGAAGTATTGATTGTTAAAATGTTAAGAAATAATAATCATTTCTTGAGCTTTTGGCTTGGATCAAGTATAAAAAACATTAAGAAATAAATATTTTGATTAAAAATCTTTATAGAAAGGACCTGTAGGTATTAGCTAGGTACTGTGCATGGATGGATGGATGGATGGATGGATGGATGGATGGATGGATGGATGGTTAGTTTATAAATTGCAGTGACTTAAATTTTTATAGCATGTACTGGAATTATAGGCCCCTTTTATTCATTCAGCATATGAAATTTCTAATTTGCCTATCATACATTTGATGCTGGTGAAAAAGTTATTCTTCCTGAACCTGCTGTTTAGTTCAGGATTTCTTTAACTTGTCACCATCGACATTTCGGGCCAGATGATTCTGTGTTGTAGAGGGTTGCCCTGTGCATTGCAGCATCCTTGGTTTTTAACCATTAGGTGCCAGTAGTACCTCCTCTGACTTACAATAACCAAAAATGTCCCCTGGGAGGCAAAATCGTCCCCAGTTGAGAACCACTGGTTGAGTTGAATGACTCAACTAGGGATGACCACTTTCTAAGAATCACTTGCCAGAGTAGATCATAGTTTCCTATGGGTACAAGGTATAGTTCTCAAGTATGCTGGTGGGTATTGTGTTAGTGGTGGTAGGAGGAGGGCAGGGAGGGCAATTGAAAACTGGTCAGGTGTCAGACCAGTTAATAGCCAAGAAAGAATGACGGGTGCTGTGATAAAAGTATATAGGGAGCTCAAAGAACAGGTGTGTAATAATAAAAACAACATAATATTTACTAAGTCCTCATTATTATTAGAGACTGCTAAAGGCTACCAGATTTACCTTGTTTTTTCAATACATGCCTACATGATAGTTACTTTATTATCTTGATTTTATAGGTGAGTAAGCTCTAGTCTGGAGATGTAACTAAAGGGAGCCAAGATGGCAGAACAGCATGGAAGTTTTTATGTGTGTCTCGCATCCATGAAATAGAGATGTAACTTACCTTACCCAAAGTCACAGAGTTAATAAATGGAAGGGCCAGAATTTGAACCCAGAGCCAGTGCTTTTTAGTAACCTAGTTCACCTTCAGAAAGATGATCCTAAGGGATGAGTACAAGTTAGTCAGGCGAAGACTAGTGAAAGATAGGGCCAGAATGGAGATAGATGACAGAACTTGAAGCATTACATTGTATGTCCTAGTTACAATTCGGAATTTGCACTTTGGGGTCTAAGCAAGAAGTAAGATAATAAAATTATGTTTTAAAATTTCTGTTCTAGGCACATTGTGGGGAATGGATTTGGGGTGGGGAAATGGATATGGAATTAGGGGCAGGAAAACTGGTAAGAAGCAATGTTAAATTAATGTAGGTGCGAAGATGACTTTCACTTAATTTCAGCCTTAAACTCGTAAGTTAACATTACCTTAGCAATTTTTCTATGTAAATAGCTACTTGGCACCAAAAACCCTGAAACTTTTTGACAACAGTTTCATTTCTTATTTAAAGATAATTATTGATAGCTTATCATAAACTAGAGAAAGGCATTTAATTGTCCACCTTTAGGGTCTACCATGCACTTTCAAGTCTTTCAAATTCTGATATTTAAAGTAGTCATGTGACCCAGTAATATATAAGGAGCGATATGATATAAAGAGCTCAGCACTGAGTAAGAAAAGCTGCTGTAAACATGCCAATCAACATGCCACAGAAGTACATCCTTGTAGTTTGTTGGGACCTAAACAGCTTGTTTACCGCTGGAGTTCCAGGATAGGCAGTGAGAAGAAAACTAATGGATGAGGCTGGAAAAAGGGAATACAGTGAACAAAAGGAGCTCTGAGCCTTTTGGAATCTACTTTGTGAGAGGAGCAGAGTGGGGCCTTGCTGCTGTGGTAATATTCTATCAGCAGAAGCAATTCTCAAGAAACCTTTATTCTTTATACTTATAAGCCTTGGTAGGAAGTCAGCAAATGGGTTTGTCTTGTATCCGTGCTTAGGAGACACAAGGCTCTTATTTGAGCAGAATACCTAAGAAAATTTTCTGTGTCAGATTACTGTGGGTAAGTCATTCAGTCTGTCTGTCTGTCTGTCTGTCTGTCTGTCTGTCTTTCTGTCTCTCAAATCTTCCTAAAGAAACTTTAAGGGGCGCCTGGGTGGCTCAGTCGGTTAAGCATCTGACTTTGGCTCAGGTCATGATATCACGGTCCATGAGTTCAAGCCCCGCGTCAGGCTTTGTGCTGACGGCTCAGAGCCTG